CTATTACTTTAGTCTATATATAGTTAGAAATACTAGCTAAATTAATTTTATATATTAAGTAGTGCTTAGGTTATTAAAAGCTAGGTATTCTAAAATCTAAGCTCTAGCGTTCTTAGCGTTCTTAGTATTACCTATACTATAAATACTAGGTAATATCTTATACTTAATAGTATATACTATCTCTATTATATATATATACGCTAACTAATATAGCTATATAGCTATAGAAGCTTAATTTTATTCTAGTCTCTATTAGTAAAGATAATAATATTAGTTTACTAGTCTAGAACGCTTTTATAATATTAGAACTCTATATAGTAGTATTCTATATTCTACTAGATATAGTAGAGCTTATCTAGGCTTTTCTTATACGCTTTCTAGATAATATAATCTACTAGATCTATTAATAAGTTAGTAAGAAATAACTTTTAAAGTATATTTAGTAGGTTTATAATAATTCTTAAGTAGATATAGAATGCGTCTCTACTAATCTAACTAATAAAAACTATAAGTATTTCTCTAAGCGCGTATATAAGAAAATAACTATAAAATAAGTAAATAAGTGTTTAAAGAATTAACTAGATTATATATTAGTAGAAATAGTAGTAAATTTCTAGAATATAGTTACTATAAAAATAAATAAGATTACGTATTCTAATTATAAGCTTAAGTACTAGAATATAGCTAAGATATTTAAGTATATAGGTATTAGTAAAGTAGCTAAAATAATTAACTATATAAAGGTAGTTACTACTATTAACTATTTATAAAAATAGAAGATAGTTTTAGATACGTAGAGGTAGTTATATTAAGAAGGTTTCTATTTATTTGTAACTATAGAATTAACTAAATATAATATTATAGAAGATATAACTACTAGAGTAGAAGATATAACTACTAGACTAAGTAATAATATAGATATAGTTTCTAATATATAAAATAACTAGCTAGTATTATTCTAGGCTAATATAGATAGAATATTAACTAACGTACTAACTATAAGTAAAGTTAAAGAAATCTAGAGATTAGTTATAACTATATAAAAGAAAGAAACTATAGATATACTTAGTAATATATAGTATTACTAGAATATATTAATACTCTATACTAAATACAAACGTCTAGAATATCTTTTATATAGTAGAATTAATCTAAAAAGTATATAAGAGTAGAGTATAGTAATAGTAGCGTAAGAGTAGCTATTTACTAAGATTAGTAGTGTTATACTTTGTATATAAAATAGATAGTTAGAATATAGAAAGTAATAGTTTATACTCTAAGAGAGATTTAGAGTAGAAATTTTTATCTTACTACTAAGAAGTAAAGTACTAAATTTATTTATTAAATAGAAACTAATTACGCGTTTATAGAACTAGATAAATATAGTTATAATCTATAATAGTAATACTATAGAGATAGTAAAGATTATAGAACTAATTTTTATAAGTTATATAAGAGTAGAGTCTCTACTAATATAACTTCTACTAAAGTCTATTAAGAAGTTTAACTTTGTTAATTAAACCTTTATAGATCTACTTACTTCTAGTTAAAATATATAATAGAACTTTAAGATAGTCTAGAACTTAATAGATAATATAAGTTAGCTTAATTTACTAGCGTAAATAGTAGTAATATAAGAGAATAAGTAATTCTAGATATACTTTACTATTAAAATTCTATTAATTTACGTATATAAATAAGTAGGTTCTTATAGATATAAAAGGTTAAGTTAATCTAGTAATATCTAGAGATTTATATATACATAATGTTAGAACTTTACCTAGTAATACTTAGAAATTTATAAGTATAGAATGTTAAATTTTATTTTAGAAATATAGAAGTAATCTAATAGTATAGTTTCTATCTATAAGATAGTAGAAAATAAGTCTAAAAGTTATAATACTTATATTAATAAGCGTACTTCTAGAGTTAGCTTACGCTATTAGTATACTTCTAGAGTTAGCTTATAGTGTTAAGCGTACTTCTAGAGTTAGCTTATAGTGTTAAGCGTACTTCTAGAGTTAGCTTATAGTATTAAGTATACTTCTAGAGTTAGCTTATACTACTAGTATAGTTTTATATATAGCTTATAGTGTTAAGTATTCTTTTAGAGTTAGCTTACGCTATTAAGTATTCTTCTAGAGTTAGCTTACGCTATAGAGCGCACTTTCTAGATATAATTATAGTAGAGAACGCGCTTCTAGAGCTAGCTTATAGTATTAAATAAGCTTCTAGAGTTAGCTTATAGTATTAAATAAGCTTCTAGAGTTAGCTTAAGCTATAAAGCTAGTGCTAGAATATAAAAATATATAGACTAAATTTTATAGAATTTAATAGTAAAAGTTATAAATCTAATAAATTTAGAGTTACTAATAGAGCTAGTAGAGAATAGATTATAGTCTTTTTAAATAGTAAAGGTACGTAATTTAGATAATTATAGAAGCGTAGATAGTATAGATATAACTAGTAATAGTAATAAAAGTAAAGAGTAAAGTATAGATAAAAACTAAAGAAAGTAACTATATAATAAAAAGTACTTTATAATATAATATTATACGTAATATATACTACGTAAAGTAGATTTAAAAATATAATATATATAGAGAATAAGAAGTAATAGGCTATAACATAGATACTATTATTAGAACTAGTATAGTATAGTTAATAAAGCGCTATATAAGCTAGCGCTATAGAATAGACTATAAAGATTATAGACTATAGAATATAGATAGATAATACTAATAAAACTAGTATTACTAGTAATAATATATTATAGTATATAGAACTATAAAAGTAGAATAGATCTAACTTAGACTTTAAGCTTTTATTTAAGTAGATAAATTAGACTATCTAAGCCTAAAGTTATCTAAGATAAAAGATAATAGATATAAAATAGCTATCTTATATATCTTTAGAATAGAATAGACTATATATAATATTATATATCTAGCTTTTTAGATAGAAGAGAAATTTACTATATTATATAGAAGAAAACCTATATATAATAAATCTTTTACTAGTACTTTTTTAGATAGACTATTAGATTATTAGTTACTATTACGTTCTTTATTATATAGCGTAGCTATACCTTAGATATCTTTTACTTAGATATAGTAGCTTTCTAATATAGTCTTTTAATATAGTTTTTTAGTATAGCTTTTTAGTATATTCTATCTATCTTTTACTAGAATATAAAAGCCTTTTACTAGAGTTTTACGCTATATAGTATTATTTAAAGCTTTTTTATAGCTTATTATAATATTATTATATAGTCTAATACTATAATTTAGAAGCCTTTTACTAGTAAAGTAAAGTCTTTTACTATACGCTATACTATTTTAGGTCTAGTATAGAATAAACACTTTAACTAGTTTTTATAGCCTTTAGGTATAGAAGTTAGAATTCTAATATAGTTAGCTTATAAATTAGATCTCTTTCTACTACTAAAAGCTATATATTTCTAGTATTCTATCTATAGCTTCTCTAGCTCTATAATAATAATACTCTACTTAGAAAACTATAACTTAGTAATACTATCTCTCTAGAAGTTTACTTTACTAATAGTAGTATTACTAAGTATATTATATTCTAGGTTATTAATAGCTACGTTTATTATAATATAGTTAATCTCTATACTAGTAACTATAAACTACTCTAGTATAAGATTATATAGATAGATAATAATTAATCTAAACTATAGTAACTATACTTTAATATATATAGCTCTAAGAAGTTAGTATAGAACTTCTATACTTATAACCTAGATAAATCTAAACTATATAATATATTCTATAACTATAATAATAATAGAAAGCTTACTATTACTCTACTCTAGCTACTAGATCTTATATACTTTAAAAAAACTAGCTAGTTATTTATAGATTTCTTTAGCTATAATACTTTTATAGTCTATCTAGCTAATTATAATATATATTTTTATCTAACTTTAATCTTTATAGCTATTAGTAGCTATAAAGTAGACTTTATAGACTACTTTACTTACTACTTATTAGCTTTAGCTAGTATAGTATTCTTTATAGTACTTTAGTAGACTATTAGATTATAAAATACTCTAAGTAACTATATTACTACTATACTATAAAATACTCTAGATATTAACGTTACTACTAGCGTGTTAGAATAGAAGTAACTTTTAACTTTTATTAGATTTTCTTATTAAGAGAAACCTCTATTTCTATATACTTACTATTACTACTTAGTTAGAACTTTAAGTACTTTAGAGAGAGAATATATAATAGTTCTAGATCTTATACTCTATTAGACTAATATTAGTCTAATATCTCTACTATATATATATTTCTACTAAGCTTTATAAAAGCTTCTTACTATAATAACTTTATTATTCTATATATATCTATTATCTAATCTTTTATAAAACTTTTATATATATATAAAAAGATATTATATAATAGAGTATTTTAAAAATAGCTATTTCTCTTAGATAAGCTAGTAGATTATAGTTTTAAAAAGTCTAAAGAAAAAGAAAAAGAAAAAGAATAAGCTATTAAATAATAAAGAGAAGACTTTTAAAAAGTGTCTTTAGAAAGAGAATAGTATAGTATAGATATAGATTATACTTAGCTTAATTCTAGATAATTAATAGAGTAAGTAAAATATTATATAGTAGAATAAATTAGATAATATAAAGTAAAAGATAATAAGAAGATAAAAGAGAAAAAAAAAGTAGAGAAAAGTATTATTAATAGAGTTATTATAGCTAAAAGTCTAGTGTCTTTAGTATAATATAATTTATTAAAAACACTAAAAAAAGATCTCTAAAAAGTTAATTACTATAAGCCTTAACCTAAGACGAAGCGTAAGGCGAGCTGTTGCGTCTTAGCTAAGCGCTGTATAAAGAGTAGACGATGTCACGATGAAGAGGCTTCACAAAACCCGACATCGCGCCCTCTTAAACCCGCACTGAAGTCGGGCTCAGATCACGACACCTTCCTCGCAACTCAAACCCTCTCACTCCCACCATGGCACCATCCTGGCTCGATAGATTCATCGTCCGCAGCGACTCACCCCCAACACTCGACGCGCGCCGCGGAACCGACACCCCCGTGCTGAAGCTCAAATACTCAAGTCTCGCGGAACACCGACGCGTCCTGACCGTGGACGGCGAGAAGACACCACTGTACGAGATAAAACGGCAGTCCATCCTCGGGGCATGGGGAAGCAAGATACACGTCACCTCGCCCTTGAACTCAGACCAAGAAGTCGCGCTCATCGATTACCACATGTTCTCCTTGACTATCGACTTTCCTCTCCGCAAGAGGCATCGCATTGAGATCAGCACGTCGAAGCAGAAGGTTGCTGTGGGTGGTGGGCTGGGTGAACTGCATTGGAAGGGCACGGGGATGGAGGTTGCGGGCGCGGCGTCGTGGGAGTTGAGGGATGAGACGAGTCTTGTTATGGTTGCGCAGGTGGATCAACAACAGGTGGGTGGGTGGATCATGCTTTGGAAAGGGGGTTTGGATGCGCAGACGGTGGAGGAGCTTGTTGTTGTGGGTGTCGCGGAGATTGAGGGGTATAAGAGGATGATTAGGCAGAGCAAGACGTCCGCGGTTGGGGTTCTGGCGAACAAGTAGGTGGGTGGCTTGTTGTTCTTGGGGTTAAGGACGTGGTGTACTGTATCGTAACGTTGACGAGCCGAAGCGGGCGACGACGGAGAAGCTGGACCTTATGAAACGTGCGACTTTATTTACTATATACATGTGCATTATCTCCACTGTTACCGTAGCGGCAGGGATTTGTCCTCCGCGACCTCACCTGCATCCTTTACCGGCACCGCCTCCGGGCTCGCAGCGGGCGTCAACCACGCTGCAGGCGCATCACTTTGCGCAGCCTTCTTCGCGTCCTTCACCCTCTTGTTGACGAAACCCGGGTCAGGGCTCGACCATTCGTAGCCAAAGCCGTCACCGAGCACCTCTTGGACTCCCTCGGCGAGGATCTGCACTGCCTTCCTGCGGTTCCTGCTCCACTCCCACGCACGGTACCAGCGACCTGCTTGAACCGCAGTCTCCTTGCCGCCCTCCAATCCATCGAGAATGGATCGCCAAACGAGCATTGTCTTCTCCAACTCAGGTGCGCGCGAGACACCGATGACGCTGACACCCAGCTTGGAGCCGCCGACATCGTCAATGGACTCGTGTGTCCAGGGCACGCCTGATGCGGGGTCTCCACGAGATCCGCACAGCGCGCCAGCAGATATCCATGTCTCGAGCGCGAAGCGGATGGCGATAACCTCGATGCGCTCACCGTAGTCATCGCAGAAGTGGCTCGCTTTGCGCACTGCCTCACGGAGGGAGGATGGGGCGGGGTGCCAGTCTCCGAGGCCACCAACGGGTATGCCGTCGTGTCGGAGGAGGCCCATACCAAGGATGGAGGCGTTCGGAACGACGTCGACGCCTGCATTCTTGAGGCGCAAGATGCCGCGCTGGCCGGCGAGCGACTGGTTCTGGAGGGTGAAGTTGGCGTAAGACTGCACCGCATCGAGTGGCTCGCCCGTCTCGCGGAGGATGAGCTCAGCCATGTCGCCCAACACATCCAGTGGGTATCCACAGATGCCAATGTAACGAATTGTGCCCTCTTCGTCCCTGAGGCGGCGGAGTTCTCGGACTGCTTCCAAAACCTCCGCCGGGCTCACGAACTCGACGTCGTGGCAATATACCATGTCCAAGTATTCGCTGTGTAGTCTCTCCAAACTCCTGTTGACGCTCTGGCGCACCCACTCCTTGCTGTAGTCGAACTCTTCGCTCCCTGTCCGCCCGACCTTGGTCAGGATCATGTATGAGTTGCGCGGGAACGTTTCCCGGACGAATGGTGTCGCGAGCGCATCGCCGAGCAGTTGTTCGGAGGGGCCGTAGTAGGGCGAGGTATCGAAGGCGCGAATGCCGTGTGTGAGCGCCGAGGTCACGAGACCAGTTGTGTCGAGCGCGAAGGGGTCGGTGTTGTACTGGGAGTTGAACGTGGCCGTACCGAAGACGAGGGGAGGGAGGATGGACGACAGCGGGGTGCGCCGGCCATTGGCGAAAGAGTATGGAATCGGCTTCTGGCGCGTGGGCAGACTGCTGACGGTCGAGGGGTGTTCGATGGGCGTTGTCGCCATGGTCGCGACTGTGCGGGCGTGCTGAGCAGGCTATTGGCGGGTCGAGTACCGTCGCGTCGCTACTACAATCTCTATTGCGGGGTGTGCGCTTCGCGGGAGGATGCAAGCGATGCGCGCAAAGCAGGATAAGGAGTCGCGGTAGGGTCCTGTGTGTAGTCTTTCCAGTCGTAAAGTTGAGTATGCAGAACGTGGAAGAAGAGAAACAGTCGGCAGCCTGCGGTTTAGGCTCGCGCATGCCACGCTCCGAAAGCGTGAAATCTATGCCTCACCATCCACCGTTTCGGTTGTGGTAAGGCGCCGCACCGCGATGGCAGGAACAGATGGACTAACGGTCGACCCGCATGACGCCATCTGCGTCTGGAACGCGTTTCCTGGCGCTGGGACGGCGGTAATTGGTCGAGATGGAAAAGTCAAAAGGATGATTCATGGATGTTGTGTGATCAAAGAAGGGTCCACCGCTCAAAAAAGACCCTGACTCGGCCGCCAATCTTGATTAGTGCCGAAGCATCGGGCGCGCATCTCAACATGCGAACGGCAGCACACTACTCCCGCCGGGCTTGGAGAGCTGACATGTCCGCTAGGTGGCTGCCTGGGCCGTTGCAGCGCCGTCATAAGTTTTGATGCGAGCTGCGTGCTGACTGCAGATAATGATACGAAGACGCTAGCGCAAGACATTCCGCAGCTAATCGGGCCGCCATGCCTCCACAAAATGGTGCAAGCATGCGGCAGGGATGAACATCGCGGACTTCCTTTCCTGTCTTCGTTGTCTGCTTCTTGATTTCCTTGAATTCGGGCTTGTTTCGCGATGATCAGATCGCGATTACTTTGATTCGCGTTTGGGCTCGGTGTGTGACGCCGTCGCTTTGCCGGTGGCTGCTTTGGCTGTCTGAGCTGCCAGGCCTCGAGTGTCGTCCTCCGGCTCACCAGATTCGGCTCCATCGTGTGTCGAATTATGGTCGGGATGTTGCGCATCTGTACACTGTCAGGATACGCCTTTGTTCCAGTACGAGCAGAACGCTGCATACCTCCTCATGCACGAGCTGAACGTGTCCCGCTATCCCCTTCGAACCTGATTACGTAGGCAGGGCAGTGGCCGTCGCAAGGCAGTGGCCATCCTCGCACCCTCGTCATCCCCATCATCGCGTTCTCAATCCAACCCGACAGTGCGACAACGCGACAGCGAATGGCCGCCCAGCGAGTGTTCAGCCTGGACAGGTGCGCAGATGTTCGATGTCGCTGAACGGTACGTGAACGAGGAGCTGAATGACTGAGTTGCACGCAGCTTCCCAATGTAGCCCGCTGCTGCTCCCAACAGTCACACTCCTCCTATGAGACACCGAGCTCGCGTCGGGAGTATATTGCTCGGGCGCACCGTCTCTCCATAGGTGATACCTTGTTTCGGCCCCCCGCCACCAGCGCATGCATCGTGAGGCTGAAGCATGCTTACCCGGGGCCGCCTTGGTGCTGCCGGGTTCGAAGGCGAGGATGGCTGATGCTATAACTCCGATGCTTGCCTGCGTCGTCTCGCAACGACCACACACAGCTTCGTTCCTAGCCTCGTGGGATCCACGACTCCCACTTCCATTGCCGCATCATGGCTTCAAAGACTGCGAGACCAAGCACATCCACTGATCTCGGTCGACTATGGAGAGCCGCCGTAAGAGACTACAAAGAACGCACTGGAGAGGATCTCGCGACTATGGGCGTGAGAAACGTCGCCGACGTGATGCGTCAAACAGATGCGGTCATGATTGACTTCAAGGGCTTTCGAGACGACGGCAGCAAGAAAGCGAGCTTTCGATCGGCTATGGGTGACCATCTTGATGGTCTCCAAACTTGCATTGACGGCTTCGCTGCAGTCGGAGCCTGTGTCAGTGCGTTTCCGCCGATGATGCCTGTGGGACTTGTGTTCACTGCCGCGAGTCGTGTGATATCCGTGAGTATAAAATCCCATCATACGGAAAGGTACTAATCTTGGACAGGCCTTCGCGGGGGTTAGAGCAGATTACGACAGTGTCGAGGAGTTCTTCGCATACTCCGCCCGTTTCTTCCAACGACTTTCGCTTCTCGAGAACAAAGCGCAGTCCGATTCGCTTGCAGTCGCAGTCATCAGAGTCTTCTCAATGCAGCTTTCGGTATGTGCCAGGGTGAAGCAACTGATAAAACACAAACGATTCAGTAAGTTCATTTCTCTTATGCTGTGAATGTGCTGACAGCTTATAGAGCAATGGCTCAATGCGTTGTGGAACGAGGTCGATCAAGAGCTCATCGCGACCTATGCCGGAATGCAAGCCTCCATACAGGAACTCAACGAAACCGTCAGTTTCGAAATGTACGGTAATCTGGCAACTGTCCAGCACGATGTTCTTGCCAACAATGCAAAGCTGGACGAGCTCGATGAAAAACTTCAGTCCTACAGTTCTAACCTGGAAGGAGGCATTCTGCAGGTCTACGAAAGCATGATCAATCTGCATCTTGTAATCAACGATGTACGAAACACACAGATTGAAGACCATGCTTTGATCTTGCAAATCTTCAAGAGCGCCGTGAAGACGAGCAAAGCGCCAGAGATCGAGGAGAAGAAGAAGTCGTCTCAAAAGTCTAAGGGAGACATCAGCGACCGGAAGTTCCAAGCCCTGCGTGAATTGAAGAAGTTCTTCGCTAACGACTACGATGCGTTTCCCTTATGGCAAGACGCTCACCAGGAGAACTTGCTGCAAGACAAAGAACTGCTCGAGTTAAAGGTGAACAAAACAGCTGGATGGCTCCGTGAACACGAGAAGTTCAAGGACTGGGTAGATGGAAAAGTACCTCTACTCTGGCTACGAGGCGCCGAGGGGGTCGGAAAGTCGTTTCTAGCCTACTCGGTCGTTCAACAGCTTCGACTGCGCCAAAGCGAACATGACTGCTTGGCTTATTTCTATTTCAAGGAAGAGCATCCTTATCAACAGTCGATGCAAAACGCGTTCGCTTCTGCTGCGCTACAGATCGCCGGATCGAACAACCGATATGCCGAACAGGTAGCGGCTAAGATCAAGCAGGGGCCTATTGAGTCTGCGAACATGTCTACCTGGGAACGATTCTTCCTCTCGATGTTTTCCAGTGACACCGAAACTGGTGGCCGTCTCTTTCTTGTCTTCGACGGCCTAGACGAAGCGCATGTGAAAGAAGGCGGAACCTTTACGCAGTTTCTGTCAGATCTGAACCACCGGAACGCCAGCATCTCAGTCTTTGCAACGAGCAGACCTGACGATAAGCCCACGCTACAGATGCTGCAGCCTTCTTTACTCGAGGTAACTAAGCATGAGATCAGGCCAGACATGAGGATGCTCGTGAAGGACCGTCTTCGTACACTTCCGCGGATACGCAAATTCACTCGAACTACCAAGGCATCAATCACGCGCGAAGTAGTGAAGCACGCAGACAGTATGCTATACGTTGAGCACATGCTCAGGAGATTCAACTACATCGGTCGAGAAAGAGCGGTCTCGCAAGCATTGAAGGACATGCCTCAAAATCTACACGGACTTTACGATCTTCTCCTAGAAGAGTGTCGACATGATCGATCGGAAGCGCAATACCAGGCAATGAAGAAATTGTTCGCGTGGCTGGCGTTTTCGAAGCGATCGCTTAGCCTGGGTGAAGCCTCGAGCCTGTGTCAACTCGCTCTCTCGGATGACACATTCGATATCGAAGTAGAAGTCATTGGCCGTTCTTCCCGCATTCTTGAGCTTACCCAATCACGGCAGCTCGAGGAGGATGCCAAAGACGATGACAAAGACGAAGACGAGGACGACGAGGTGAAAGATGATGGTATTCCAGAGCTCGGCTACGGAGACCCCCCTCTTTCCTTCCAGGACCGGTCACTCCGGCAGTACTTCAAGAGCGTGAGCGTTGAGGACGATGGTGTAACAGAATTTCGGACGCCTGCCACCGCTGCACACCTAACCATACTTCAGATGTGTGTAGACGTCATGATGAAGGCCGCTCAAGATCCCTTCGAAGCGGGAAGTTCCGGGCTGAATTACTACGCAATCAACTATTGGTATGAGCATCTTAAAGAGTTAGACGCAGATACCGCGAGCCCTGAGGCTGTCCGCGATGTCGTGACACTATTGCACTGCATCACGGACAACACACACAACGTCGCCAAGCTGTTCGAAATGCTAGCGCGACACACGGAGATCTATCCTGAACGCGCTGAAGACACCTCTACCGCTTGGTACGACACTCTTTTCAGTTGGACAGCTAGGGTGTCCACATTACCAGATGGATCCTTGGATGAGAAGGTCAAACTTTGGACGCTCACGGTCGATCGAGACAATGTTCTACTTCCGCTTGCTCACGGCCATGTTCACAACTGGCTAGACGCAAGTGATTCATGGTGGATACCTGAAAGGTTCAGATTCGCCAAAGCCGCGCTGTCTCGTGTAAGTTGATCCTCTTCTTTGATGTCATTTCTAATGGTATGAAGTCAAACGCCTCTGGAGCCGAAGATTCCGAGCAATTCGAGCCACTCGATTACATGAACGCTATCATCACGCGATATGACATTCCACCCGCGGACTACAAGACTCTTCGAGCGATTGGGGGCACTTTGTCCGACTACGGAACGACATTTTACGACGATCGCAGAGAGATTCTGCTTACAGAAGGTATCGTGCATTTGAAAAGAGCTGTGGAATGTATGAAAGGAGATGTTCTGGAGAACATCGCAACGATGCGCTTGCTGGCATTAGCATACAGGCGATGCGACCAGATGCCCGACGCAATCAAGTACTATGACGACGCCTACGACATGGTGCCGAATTACGATGCGGATGGATCTGCCAAAGATGAGATCGAGAAGATCAAGTTCATACGTATCGGTATCATGATGGAGAAGGCTTCCGCATATTCTGCTATTGGGGAGGTCGATGAAGCTTTTCACGCGTACAACGAAGCACGAAGACTGCAGGGTGAGAAGCCACTAGCTGGCACAATCCTGGACGACATAACGCGACTATTCCAGAACGACGACGAGACCGATAGTCGAAGGCTGATGGAAATCCTGAAGAGCTGGACCGAGAAGGAGCGCAACAGTTTCTTCACGTACAATTTTGAGGACTATGTGTTTGAGAGCACAGTGAAGCGCATGCAAAAGGCAGCATTGCTTTGTAACGAGACGGACCTACTCATCGGATGGCTAGGGAGCCTAGCCAACATCCTTCCGCCGGAAAGCCTACAACTGTTCAACATTCGAGGCGCGATCGCAGACATCTATTACCCAATGTTGGGCGACATTGAGAACGGCAAGAGACTACGCCAGGAGCTTCTGGCTTTGCCAACAAAGCCCAGCTTAGCCTATGAAGACTCTATGAATGAGGCGAGGACGCGTCACCGAATGCACCTCGCAGACATCCTGTTTTGTGAGTTCCAGATGACTGATGAACCAACAAAGAAAGAGGCAATCATGAATACATTGAGGGATCTGCCGAGCGCCCACGATAACGACGACGACAGCAACAACGTTCGCGAATCTCATGTCGACATGCTCCGCGCAAACATGCTTCGGATCATGGGCCCTGCGAAAGAGTACGAGAGATACATGAAGGAGCTGTTCCAGAAATGTGTCGCCGGCCTTGAAGACAGCATCTCGTGGAACGACCAGTCGAGCCTGCGATTACTAGCTAAAGTATTGGCGTCTTTGGACAGTCTGGAGGCTGACGCAAGAATTGCGATCAGCGCCCAGTTCTCGATTCTTGATCTTGCGATATATGGACGTGATCTCGAGCCGGAAAAGTCTGAGACATCTTCCAACGAGAGCGACACCGAAGCTGGTGCAGAACAAGATCCAGTGAAGGGGGAAAGCGAACCGCTAAACGACAGCGACGTTGTTCGGAACGATTCCCTGACGGATGAAGCTCTCGATGTTGAAAGTAACGATCTTGCCGGAGAGCCGATTGAGGAGAAGCAGGATCCCACGGAGCCGGGAGAACAGGATGTGGCTGAAACGGAATCTAAGGATGAAAGGGAGTCCGACGCTGAGACAGAACCCGACAAGCTGGACGAAGACGTGTTTCTAGCTGGAGGCCTTGACTGCGATGGGCCTTGTGAAACCAGCATCACATCGTGGACTCAGCCGATCTACTACTGCCTGATCTGCCCAAACTGCGATCTCTGCGAAGATTGCCACTCCAAGCGTGTCCAGCAAACGAAGGGAGTCCAACCAACGGAGGGCAAGACCGAAGAGCCGTGGCTCAGCTTTTGCGGCGCAAATCACCGCTACATCAAAGGACCGATGAAGGGTTGGAAAGGCGTCAAGAATGGTGTTATCCGGTACGCGGATACGGAGATCACCGTGACGGAATGGCTTCGGGTGCTCAAGGATGAACGGTGGCCGAATGCTTGGAAAATCTTTTGGACGAGGCAGGGAGGGTTGAAGGATATCGGAGTTGAAGATTGAGGTAGAGATAAGACTGATATCTATGTCGCACTCCATGATAGAATCGTACTCCCAACGTCTAACGTCTGTATCAAGATGAATGCTTAACCCGTAGGGTATTGTCAGAAAGACGTCCAATTTTGGTATAGTGGATGCAACATGCCCTCAGGCGACGGGAAGCTATGTTGCATTCATACTTATTTTACGACTCTTCAATATTAGTAGAGAGCTATACAAGACTAAAAGACCTGCAACCATCTTGCCGCTTCTCGCATACACATCGCATGCGTTCAATACCTCCGCTCGATGCTTGGTCTCACCCAATGCGGCCCCTCTGCGCACGTCTTTCCAAAGTTCAGAGCGTCCATGTTTGTCCTATCCCAGCCACTAACGTACTTCCTGTCCTCTGGGTCATGATGACCATCCGGCTGCTTCGCACGACCAATGTACAACGCTTTGGCAAAGTAGCAATGTCGTCCATGCCAGGTGTACTGCATACATTCGTCATGTTCAGTACACCCAATCCTGCAAGCATCGAGGCTCGTATGACCTGTAGAGTTGTCTGGGAGCTGAAGTCCCGCGTCGAAGGCTGCGTCCCAGTTCTCGCGCTGCGGATCTTCGCCTTGCAGGGCGGAGAGCAGGGCGCGGTATAAGAGGTTGCGATAGCGCATTGGAAGGTCACTCTTTGCTTTCCATTCGTTCTCCCATGACCAGAGCTCTTTGTAGAGAGCTGGGTCGGTTTTGTGGAGGCTGATGACGGGCTCGCACCAGTGGTCCTCATCGAAGGGGACGTTTTCGAGTCTATGGGGGCTGAACATGGGCCATAGACCGCTGATATCGACTCCGGCTTTGTCGTGTAGCGCCCACCCTAGTATGCTGTCGCCACAACAATCGGCTCTGATGTCTTCTTTGTATTCTCTGGTGAGACGAGGGCCCTTGAGACCAAAGGTGTTGCGGTGGCGATCAACGAGTCGATGCGCAGCGGCTTGGGAAAGTATGAAGCCGGCGCCTCCGTACGCGAACCACACTTGTTTCTTCACGTTAGGCTGCGCGTCAGAATGGTACGTTCGTCCGGGCGAAGGCGATCCAAAATAGTAAGGCAGCGAGCTATTGTAGTTCTCCAAAAGACGGAAGACGTTGTCCCAGAACATGTATGTGTCGCTCTCCAGGAAGACGTACCACTCAGCCGCCTTGTTGTGATCAATTGCTTTTCCCACTGCTGGTAGGAATTTATACCTGTCAAGCCTCCATCCTTCATGACCCTGCTGTAGCTTTGTGCCCTGGCGACTTGCGGTCTTCTGCGTCTCGTAAACGACGTAGTCCTCTGGTGTCAGGTAGGTGTTCGGTGGCAAGTCTGCGAGAACGTCGATAGTTTGATGGTCGCGTCCATAGGTATGATTGCCATCTGAAACTACTAAGACGTTGGAGATGCACTTTATGACTGTTGAGAGCTGAGCATCCGTCCGTGCTTTGTCGTCTGCTGATCCGGTCTTCAGGATGACCTGAACCTTCGAGAGCAGATGCACTGGGAAAAGAGCGCATCCGTCCGTGGAGCCGTCCCGCCATTCAGCGTATCTTATCTGTTTGAACTGTGTCGTGGTGTTCCAAGTCCAGAAGTCCAGCCCATTGTCGGCTTGTGAGTTGGCTCCATGCGGTAGCGGCGCGAATGGCTTGGGGTGGAAGGCTTGCTTGCCTAGAATATCGCTTGGCAAGCATTCGATGTATGTCCAGTCGAAGAGAACGAATAGATTGACTCCGATGGCTATGCCAATGAATGCGAACAGCAGCCGAAGGGTGCGCCCGGTGGCGACAGACCTGACACTGGGTAAGAAGCGGCGCGAGCCTGTAAGTATACTGGAGATTATGTGTAGGCGTCGCGTCACAACACTCTTATGTCATATCAAGTTCGTCGAAAGCAAGGATACGCCAGGAGTCTAGCACTAGATGTGCGAACGTCGAAAGATCGCACCGCGTATGGGTGCACATGCTTGTCGCACTGCTGCCCCGGAAGATTCGATGGCGACACCATGACATCTTAGGTGCCCTTCTTAGGGTGGTCGCCTTACCTGACACCCCTTCCAGCAGGATTGCGCCGCAAGACAGGGCACCGCGAGACAGGGTGGTGTCAGTTAGCGAGGTTTGCCCGTTGTGATAACGACGATGCCGCTACCCGCGCCTAGCTCATCGGGCCCAGGCCAGCAGCCCTCCGTGCCTCCGTCGCGGCTTACCAGCTCCTCACCTGGGCACAAATGCGCTCGTACATCCGCACAATCGCCATTGTTATCGAACAGTCAATCTGGCATAATGCGCAACGGTAGTTCTTATCGCGAGGCGCGTATCAAGATTATTGCGCAACCACTTCGGGCGCGGGGCGCAGGGCGCGAATGCAGACGCTTGGTGGCTGAGCAGATGCCGGTGTTGGAGCAGTGAACGAGCCGAGCCAGTGGAAGACCAGTACAGGACTCGCGAGAGTGATATTGGGGTCCATTGTGCGCTCTCGGGGCCATTTTTTTGATGCAGATCGCACGAGCAGCGTGCGTGGCATTCTTCATTTGTGAGGCTCAGCCCGTGCCGCACCAAGCCAAGGTCAGATGGACCGCGGGGCAATTATCGCTTCACTATGAGATCTAAGGACGACTCTCAACACACCACTCCTTAAGAAGCCTGCTAGAACAAAAAGCGCTCGGCCATCACAGCTTCGAATCTTCACAATCCGTGTTCAACTGGGCATGCAGTGGGGGACAGGTCCGACCGACTGACATTCGATTCGCCATGGAATTTCTGGAAGGAGAGAAGTGCGAACGCTGCTCCGCCATACCCTGGGTACGGTGGTATGTATCGCTTTGTGAGACTTTGCATTTCACAGAAACCCCAGAGCAACTTCAAAGCGCTTCTTGTCCAATCTGCCGGGTTATCGGACGCGGGATTGCGAAATACGATGAACCTGTAACGTGTCTGCAAAGGGACATCTTCCCTCCGGAAAGGGATGAAGGCTTTCTTGTCTGGCTTCCGCGCGTGCATGTGCTCGCAGACTTCATGCTTTACGATAAAGACGACAAAGATTTCATCAAAGCCTGCAAAGTCCATCCAAAGCGGGTCGACTTTACGTACGCGAGGCAGTGGATACGCAACTGCATATCGTCACACGTCGAATGCAAGTCCCCGCCGGGCTCAATTCTCCAAGATCTGAAGGTGCTCGACTGTCACAATAGAATCGTCGTTTCGGCACCGGAACACTGCGAATACGTTGCGCTTTCATATGTCTGGGGAAAAGCAGGATTGGACAACGCTCCGGATCTTCCGCGAATACCGGACATACTTCCCCGCACCGTTGAGGATAGCATCATAGCTACTAGAATGCTTGGGTACCGTTACCTTTGGATCGACAGATATGTACGCCAGCCGATGAAGTCTTTTAAGGCGTTAACTAATGTCGCAGTGCATCGACCAAAACGATGATATAGCGCGACAGCATCAAATCAACCAAATGGGCACGATCTACTCCTCGTCACAGGTAACTATAATCGCAGCCGCGGGTTTAGAGAAACTGAATGCAGATGCTACATACGGGCTTCCGGGTATCACCAAAGACTTCGAAACGCCTAGTTGTTGCGCGGTTTCTGATCGACTACGCTTCGTACATACCAGGTGGACCATCTGGCGTTGTATACAATTGTCTAACTGGTATAGTCGAGGATGGACATTCCAAGAGGGCTTTCTGTCGAGAAGACGGATGTACTTCACCGACGTTGGCGTGGAATACATCTGTGACAAAGACCGCGGGAGCGAAGCCGCTAAAAACCTCGCTGCAACGCTACGCGACCCAACTCTAGAGCCGGGACTAGCCTACATGGAGCGAATGATGCACGAATACACAGGGCGCCGCCTTACGTATGATCATGATGCACTCAACGCTATTGTTGGTGCGCTCGACACGCAAGCAGAAGACGACCACATATGGGGCGTTCATCTTGTTAAAGATGACATAGCCACGTACGTATTTCTGAATTGGCGACACCGGTACCCTCTCCCTCGGCGTGAGCAATTTCCCAGCTGGTCTCCTGTCGGTTGGCGTGGTCGAGTCGATTACTATTCGGAGCATCCTTGCATCTCAGACGAATGTTCGCTCCAAGTCTGGTACGAGGACGATTACAAGCCATTAGGCCATGTTACTGGGAAGCTATCACAACAACATAATCTATCAGGAGCGGAGAGCTCGAGGTTCCTCAGAGTGACGACTAAAATAATACCCATCGAATTCGTACATGTGAAAGGCATAGTGTCGGACGACTCGGACTATCGATCGGGACTTTATGCTAAAATCCAATACAGTGAATCTCTGGATCTATTCGTCTACGCTTTCTGGGATGCCAAGGACAAACCTGTTCTTCGGCGCAAACAAGGAAGTGTTAAACTACCTTGCGCCGTAATCATTCGAAGAGCGGAGAGGCATTATAGACTGCGACACCCTACTCCATTCGAAGAAGAGATTCAGATACTCATCCTGCGTCAGCACGATACACATTACGAACGCATCGGATACTTTGCCTGGAACAGTTTCCTGCTAGACACCTATTCGTCGGACGAGGAACCATGGGATAGTGACCAGTCGAGTGCCGGTTCGTCGTCGTTTGACCCATATTACGAGCCAGAGGAGACCACGTTTGCTCTTGATAAGCAAGGCAACGAAGTCTATGTTTCTATGGGCGAGGACGACGATGAGGGCTTCCGTCGATATGGAGACGGTAGATACTGGTTAAAGGATGGTGTTGAGACCACGTTCCTTTTGGGCTAGTCGGGCAAAAGGTTACAAAGGAACACGTATACATACCACGCACATCGATTCAAAAATGCATACGCCGATTATGCATCTTGTTCTCACTTAGCGGCTATAAGAGGCGTTCTTAAAAACACGACACTCGAACTGCGCAGCAGGCTCTACGTGATTTGCCATCGTCACGCAAACTCTACGCATAATAGTCCGATTATACTTTCTGCCAGTGCATCTTCATCACCCCAGCTAGTAACGTCAGCTCCAGAACTGTCGCAACGATGTTCGCAACGTCTCGTACGTACCTAATAAAGAATGTAGAAGCTGAATGTGCATCCAATCCTCATTATCGGTAGGCAAAGCAAGCATCAGACCATCTGCAACCAATTAGCTAGAGACGCGGGTTGAGCGAGCAATACAAATACGTACGAGTGCCGCAGTATAACACGTCCTGATGCTTCTCGCGCGCATATTCAAACCTTGGGGTCTGTCCGTACTCGTCATGGCCATCAATCCACCACAGGCCCTTGGGTGAATAGTCATCGCCGTATCCGCCCTCAACAACGGCCATAATCCACTCTCCACTAACCAGGCGACCACCTACCAACTTAAACACCGTGGCGTTCTTCAGCTCACCCATGTGCGCTGGGGTTGCACTCTTGACATTACCGTCGGTCTCTTCACGGTCGAGCTCAGGACATTCGGCTATGAAGCGGCCGTTGACTTCAATAATGAATGCGTTAGGAAGGTCGGACTTGCGCATATTGTAACAATGTGTATGAGGCTGTAATAGATCCGCAGTAGAAAGGTTCGACAAGGGCTGAAAGCTGAAGTTCGGCACGTTACAAGAGCAGTTTTATGTCTTTCCTTTACTTACACTTTAGCCGCCCATACTATTGTTGGATGTTAACTTTGTTTCTCCATATAATGCGCCCTGTGCTGCGAAAGATCTGCCAGTCTCAAAAATCTCACACGTCGCTTGACCGCTCTTAGCCGTTCTACTCCGCTGATAGGTAGATAAGTCTTGGTGCAGTAACAGTGCAAATCAGGACTTGTTGTGGATTCGGATATGGTACTACCTTTCCACATACCCACAAAGCAGTGTGGTAACTAAAGAAGCCTAGTGCCTGCGGTACGCAGGTACAAAGGCGCGGTGTGCGTCGTCGACTTGGTATATGTTGGAGTCATCGAGATGGTTATCTCGGAACGGACCAAAGCCACGACAAGCACATCTGCGCACATGCTCGGGTCGGGCCGCGATGAATTGGTGGCTGGTGCTGGATGTCATGAACGGGGTCGTGACCAAGCCGCCATGCTTGGAGCTCACGAAGATAACAGGCTCGTCCGGACAAGCGTTAAACATCCGGTAACACCAGATCTGCGGAAGTAACACAATCGCTGATGCGCTTTGGGACTCAAGCACTGTAAAGTTGCGCGATGCAGGTGGGCTGTCGATAAACCCCGCTCTCTCGCTTCGCGAACTGCGAGTCCTTTCCTTTGTTCTTGTGCCATTCCCAAATGAACACACGTTGCACCAAGATATCAAGTTCTCTACAACAATCCACTACCACGACACAACTTGACGCGCCAACCCTCCTGGCTGAAGCCTAGTGCAAACGAAAGGCGCAACCTGCATGACCCATCAGCGCGAATGACTCTACACACGACGGAACAGAAATGCGCCATCTGATCGAGCATTTCGGAAGAGAATCACCACACAGCGGGAAGACTACCATAACGACTGGAGCATTATCTGGGCAACCCGCTCCAAGTCCAGCAAGTACACATCCGTCGATAGACGATGAACCGCACCCTTTCTGCCTCGTCAACACCACTAGCGATGCCACACGTTTCTGAAGAAAGACCAGCGTGACAAGATCCTCTCGCAGCCGCTACTCCTTCGTCTCCACCCAATGCAGCTTCGTCCCAGGCCCTAACAGCATTAGCCAACATGTCCCAATCAACATCTCCAAAGCAAACTTTACTCACCAATGATCATGGTAGGAGGACACGCATACAACCTCGTCTCACCATCCTCATCCAGCAGCGCCCCAAGCGGGAACTCTACACGCAAGTCAGCCAGAAAGCCACGTTACCATACGGCTCAGCACCACCAACATACCAAAACTCTCAAGCTCAACCCCATCACCCTCCCCCGTATACTGCACCGCCTTCACCATCTCAAACTGACTCGCCCAGTACATAGGCATAGCCTCAAACTTCTCTTCCTCATCCATCAAACGGCCGAGAACGAGCAACGTCACACCGGAGCTACAGAGCAAGAGCCCATTCTGTAGCGTGAAGATTGCAGCTTGGTCGCGGTCTCCCATGGTTGCTTGGCTCTTTTCCTCCCGCTTGGCCGCGAGATTAGCGGTTTCGGTTTCAGATAACGTGCTGACGAATTGGCCGTTGAGTTCGATGAGGAAGCGGCGGGTTAGGTTCGTGTTCGTGTTTGTGTTTGCCATGCTTGTGGTTCTATGAAGGATAGTGGGTGGGAATCGGGATGGAAGCAGGAGTTGATGCGTAACTCATGGTGTCCACGAAGGCTTTATGTACATTTGTCTAGTCGTACAAGATACGAGGCTAAGGGAATATCGTATGTAGCCCATCCTGTGATGGCGTAGCACATGACACTTCATTGGGCTCAACGAGCTGTCGCGAGCCAAAAGCACCGACAGGCGCGCCTTTGTTGTGTATGTGGTACACACCAGGAAAGCCATCATCACTAGTCCGGCTACCTAGACCCGTTCGCACTAATAACAATACTTCAACCCGAGCTTCTCCGCATTATGACATTGTACTTGAATTGGTATCACCTATATACACCCTCTCACACTTCCTCCTCTACAACTTCGCAAAGACCGTCGGCACAGATCCGCCCATCTCCACAAGCGTACTCTTATTCCTCACCCAAGCCTCAAGACCCTTCTTGCCATTCTCCACACCAACACCGCTCTGCTTCCAGCCACCAACGCTCATCTCCGCCGGACTCTCGCCCCAAGTGTTCACCCATGTGATACCCGCTTCGAGCTGAGCGATGACCTTGTGCGCGAGGTTGAGGTCCTTGGTGAAGACACCCGCCGCAAGACCGACGTCGGTGTTGTTGGCTCGTTGGACAACTTCCTCGACGGTCTTGTACGTGAGGATGGACATGACGGGCCCGAAGATTTCTTCGCGTACAATCTTCATGTCGTCGGTGCAGTTTGTGAAGACGGTGGGTTGGACCCAGTAGCCGTTCTGGTAGGCTTTGTCGCTGTGTGACGCAACCCATGATGGGGTTTCGGGGCCGCCGCATAGCATCTTTGCCTTGTCGTTGTCGCGGCCGTGCTTAATGTACTGTATGACTTTCTCGTAATGCGGCTTTGAGACCAGCGGGCCGAAGTTGGTGTTCATGTCGTGGAGGTTGCCGGGGCGGATGTACTGCATCTTCTCCAGTAGTCGCTTCTCGAATTCTGACTTCATGCTTTCGGGGATGAAGACTCGTGTGCCGTTGGTGCAGACCTGTCCTGTTGAGAAGAAGTTGGCTAGCATTGCGCCGTCAACTGCCTGATCCACGTCCGCGTCTGGCAGGATGACGCATGCCGACTTGCCGCCCAGCTCCATTGTTACGTACTTCATCTCGCCGGATGCGCTGCCTGCGACCTTCTTGCCTGTCGAGACTTGCCCGGTGAAGCTGACCTTGGCGATGCCGGAGTGCTTGGTGAGGTATGCGCCGACTTCACCGCCGCCCTGGACGACGTTGAAGACACCCGGCGGTACACCAGCTTCAGCGTATATGTCTGCTAGCACTGTGGAGTGCAGTGGTGTGAACTCTGAAGGTTTGTAGACCATGCAGTTGCCGGCTGCCAGGCATGGCGCAGACTTCCAGAGCGCAATCTGAATTGGGTAGTTCCACGCGCCGATGCCCGCACATACGCCCAGCGAGTTCTTGGTTGTGTACACCCACGCGTCTGGTCGCAGTTGTGCCGTCTCGCCGTTCATGCCACCTCCGCCTACGAGGTTCGCAAAGTATTCGAGGACATCGGCGCCGGTGACTACGTCTACGGTCGAGGTCTCGGAGAAGGGCTTGCCCGTGTCGCTGGTCTCGATGCGGGCGAGTTCGTCATTGCGTGCGCGGAGCAGGGCAGCCGCTCGCTGGAGGATACGCGCGCGCTCGATGGGTGGTGTCGCGGACCATGCAGGGAACGCTCGTTGCGCCGAGGCTATCGCAGCATCTATGCCAGCGTTGGAGGTTGTGTGGATGTTCGCGACTGGCTGAGCGGTCGCGGGGTCAATGGTTTGGAAGGTGGAAGTGGAAGAGCCTGACTGAAGCTTGCCGTCGTAGTAGGCTGATCGGGGCGCATATGGGAGAGACATGGTAAGTGGCTTGTTGGCGCAATGGAAAAGCCTGAGGTTGCTTCTGGTGTTGACGCGGAGTCGCAAAAGTTTGGTCGCCACGATGGTCACGATGAGCGAGATGTACCGGGAGAATTCTTATGCACAGTTTGATCTGCGCGTGTCAGCCAAGCAGTCAAGATTGGCGCGGTGATGTAACGTGAACGAACATTTGTATGGGCGATAGCGGCGGGGAGCTTGTCTGCAGCTGTTGCGCCTCTACTTCCTTTCACGATCAGTAATCCTTCGCCTTCGGAACGTCGCCGAGGGGTACGTCAGCTGAGGGATATGCAAGGGATGCGAGCGAGATAGAGAAAGCAGCAGCGCGCGCTTTTCAGCGGGATGGCGTCGTTTCCTGTCGCTGCTACTGTCTGGCACAAAAACGTCGCTCCGATGGCTGCCGCCCTCACCGCCTAGCGATCGGGGAAGGTGCGGCATCGACCGACAGGGATGGCCAGCTCGGAAGCTGCAGCCCAGCGGGGTCGCGCTAGGCCCAACGCGCCCATCACATCATCGGACGCTTTTACGACGTCTTTTTTTCTTCCACTGGCAACCACGGTTACCACATCCACGTCGTCGCCAACATCATTACAGTCGTTGTTGGACGCAATTGATCAATCACACTTACTACCTGCTGACAGCGTATGAGTTTTCACTACTTCGGCCCATCGCCTCTCCTTCCTCGCACCCGTCGCAACATCGCCATCCTGAGGCGTTGGTTGAGCACGTGCACGCGTCCGGTCCAACCGTAAACGGCCCTATTTAGCACAGTCTTATCTGGAAGGCGAACGACACATCTTGCAGCGGCGCACGACTCTCCATTCCCCAGCCTCATCGCCAGCTCACTTTTGCTGCTCCGACCTTCTGCCGACCGCCCGATCGCGACGCCCGGCCCATCTAGACAACATCTCTCCTTCGAGCGATAGTCCGCCTGGATATATAAGCTTGCTCCTGACGTGAAAAGCTCTCTTTAGCAGAAGTACATTCTCGCCATCACCCCAAGCCCACCACCCACACGCAACAATGGCTTTCGAGACCGTGACCTCCATCCCCAAGGATGCCGAGTATGACTTCGTCATTGTCGGAGGAGGCACAGCGGGCTGTGTTATTGCCTCGCGACTCACCGAATATCTCCCCAACAAGAAGGTCCTCTTGATTGAGGCCGGCCCAAGCGACTTCATGGACGACCGTGTGCTGCTACTCAAGGACTGGCTCAACCTTCTCGGAGGCGAGCTCGACTACGACTACGGCACCACCGAACAGCCCAACGGCAACTCCCACATCCGACACTCACGTGCAAAGGTCCTCGGTGGCTGCTCATCACACAACACCCTCATCTCCTTCAGGCCGTTTGAGTACGACTGCAAGCGATGGGAAGCCCAGGGCTGCAAGGGCTGGAGCTTCAAGACCTTCATGCGCGTGCTTGACAACCTGCGCAACACCGTTCAGCCTGTCCACGAGAAGCACCGCAACCAGCTCTGCCTCGACTGGATCGACTCGTGCTCAACCGCCATGGACATTCCCGTAATCCACGACTTCAACCACGAAATCAAGACCAAGGGCGCCCTCAAGCCTTCCGTCGGTTTCTTCTCCGTATCATACAACCCCGACGATGGCCGCCGGAGCAGCGCTAGTGTCGCCTACATCCACCCCATCCTCCGCGGCGAGGAGAAGCGCGACAACCTGACTGTTCTCACCAACGCGTGGGTCAGCAAAGTCAACGTCAAGGGCGACAAGGTCACCGGCATTGACCTCGCGCTTCAAAGCGGCGAGAAGTTCACCCTCAACCCCAAGTGCGAGACCATCCTTTGTGCGGGCGCCGTCGACACCCCGCGACTGATGCTCCTCTCCGGCCTCGGTCCCAAGCAACAACTTTCCGACCTCGGCATCCCTGTCGTAAAAGACATCCCCGGTGTTGGTGAGAACTTGCTAGACCACCCCGAGAGCATCATCCTCTGGGAGCTGAACAAGCCCGTACCCGCGAACCAGACCACCATGGACTCTGACGCTGGTATATTCCTGCGCCGCGAGATCCCCAATGCGGCAGGCGGTGACGGCGACATTGCCGACATCATGGCCCATTGCTACCAAATCCCGTTCTGCCTGAACACCGCTCGGTAAGCCCAACAACCCCACATTTCCGCGCTGCAACTAACATGATCACCAGCATGGGTTACGACTCCCCCATCGATGCATTCTGCATGACGCCCAACATCCCCCGTCCCCGCTCCCGCGGCCGCATCTACCTCACCTCCGCCGACCCCACCGTCAAGCCCGCGCTCGACTTCCGCTACTTCACCGACCCCGAGGGCTACGACGCAGCCACCATCGTCGCTGGTCTCAAGGCTGCCCGCGAAATCGCCAAGCAAGCACCTTTCTCCAACTGGATCAAGCGTGAAGTCGCCCCAGGCCCGAAGGTCGTCACCGACGAGGAGCTCTCCGAGTACGGTCGCCGCGTCGCACACACTGTATACCACCCCGCTGGCACAACCAAGATGGGTGACGTAACAAAGGACGAGATGGCCGTTGTGGACCCCGAGTTGAAGATTCGCGGTCTCAAGAGCGTCAGGATTGCGGATGCGGGATGTTTCCCCGAGATGCCCACCATCAACCCCATGTTGACTGTGCTGGGTATCGGTGAGCGCGCTGCCGAGTTGATTGCACAAGAGTGGGGCTGGAAGGGTCTCCAGAAGGAGAGGTTGTAGACGCGCAGCCCAAGAGGGGTGTGTTTGTGGGTAGATATGTGTTGGTAAGATGGTAAGATAGATGTGAGTTGATAACATAATGAGTGACGACTTTGAACGGTCACCCCAATGCGACAATACCCTTTGCAGCAAGTCATTACATATGCATTCGTATGTGTATTAAGTGCATTTGTGAGTAGATTGGAGAGGAGATGGGTGTTTGTGACCGTCTGACTTGATCGTCTTGTCTCTATTGAGCTCGACGTTTCTCCTGTTTGCGCATTCCCGCCCGACCACAAGATTGATCAAAGGGTATGCTATATAGATGCGTAAGCTAGGAGGCACATCTGCGAATGGCTCTATCGTCTGCTAACTTGTACCTATATGAGACTTGGCTGCGCACCCTA